TAATTAGTTAACTTTATAGTTTCTTAAGAAGACATTTTTTGGCTTCGAAAGAGGAAAAAGGGTAAAAAGATGATAATTATGAATGAGCAAAGTGTGCAAAAGAAAACATATGTAAAAAAATGAAAACACTGTGCCATAAGGTGAAAAATACACAGAAGAATCAAAGAAAGATAGGACAAGTTGGCCATCGAACTCTTCACCTTGAGTTTTGATTAAGATATATGCACCAAATAATACGATAGAACAGCATATAAAAATGTCAAACAAATAACTTTACTAATCAGTATGGGGCACGTGCCACACTTGTTACAATGTGGATCCGCCCCTCCTTGTTATAATCCATGGATAATGAATTTATCACGTTGATCCGACCGCTACATAACTAGCGTTATTCGATACAACCACACTCAATCTTTCATAAGATACGTCATTGTAAATTTTCTTACATGCATTTTACGCAAAAAAATCAACTCGAGTATATCGAAACATAAGCTCTAGAAGAGATAGGAGCTCTGTAAGACGTGACAAAAGACTCAAAATGGGCCTAAGAGTCCATTGTAGAACACTTTACAGAATTATAAACCAGTCCATTGTAAATACAAATGTTTTGTTACCTACAAACCTTTCCAAAGTATTTTAACCTTTTATATCATAAGTTACTAAGTTAATAAGATTCATTTTCCATCTTTTTATGTTCTCTATTTCAGCTTTGCATATGCTAGCTGTAAAATTTGTTTTCATTTGACACATAGTCTTTTTTCATTAAATTTTTTTTATCTTCTATATATGGTGCATGCCATGTAAATGGTGAATTGTGAGTGAGATACAACTGTTTTTTTAATTCCACATTATAAAATTATGGACTATATTAATATAAAAAAATATAACTATTCATATTTTCGCCATTAATCCTGAAAGATGCTGACACGTGTAAAACATATTGGGGGAGGTTATCACTGAGACATGAGCAAATTACTAGGTTACATCACTATTCAGTGATGAGAGACCCTAATATTTCGTTTACTTTTTTTTTGGTCAATTTTCCAATGTAAACGATTAAAATTCTACCTGCATAGATTTGATGCTTTTCAACAAAGGCATTCAACCAAAACGCAGAACCTGTTTAACCTTTGAAACATGAAATTCACCTTTAAATATTTATGGCTGTTGAGTGTTGCTGAGTTTTTTTTTTTTTTTTTGCTAAACTGTAAATATCATATAAATATGAAAGGGAGTTTTACAAAAGCATAACCCAGATTGCTTGTTACACAACGACAAAAATTAGATAGAAAAATATTGTAACAAGTAACAAAAGATTTGTGAGGAAGAGCCAACACCTAGCTGAGCCACAAGCTCATGAGCTCACCAAAATGCTTTCGTTGCCTCCGAGCTGTGATAAGATTTTTCACATGTCTATCAACATATTTAAAGACTTGATCGAGAGGAATCTCCTGGTTATTGAAAATCATGTTGCATTTGGACGCAGTGTTGCTGAGTTTTTAGAACAATTACGAGATATATAAGCATTAAAAAAGAAGAAGAAACGGATGCATGAATTAATCAAAACGCAAAATATAACATTTCAATGACAACAAGGAAAAAGAAAAGAGAAAAGAGAAAGACAATTTCAATGAGACAGAATAAGATGAAGAAATGCCTCAAATAGTTATGAGATACCTCGAAGATGAAAACCAAATACGAAACAATGCATAAAAAAACTGAAAAACTCAAAGGGAAATGGAACATTCACGACCCCAAATCTTCAATTGCTTCCGGCTGAATCTTCATGATGATCTTCACACTCTCCAACTTTGTTTTTTCCCTCTGCAGCTGAGCTGTGCTCCATCGGGTCACTAGAGCCCGAAACATTCTCATCCATAGAAAGATTGGTGGATGGAGGAAGAGGAAGAGGATGTGCTTCAGGAACGTTTCTTGTGATTGAATCAAGCGGGTTACAGCTCTTGTACTGGTATCGAGACACATGAGGACGCACAGGCATGTTCAGGTCCTCGGTTCTTCCTCCAGTGACTCCTGCGAACTTACATTCACCAGGAGGGAGCTCAAGTGATAATGAACCATGATAGCTACTGTTGTTGTTGCTGTAGCTTCCTTCTTGATCAGATGGTCGACCAAGAGTGAGACTAAGTGATAAACCATGTGGCCTATACCTGTTAGATGGTAACGGCTCTCTTGATAAAGAAGCATGGCTAGGGTCCACGTTGAAACAATGGTTTGGACCCGTAGGATGAGCCATGGGGATTCCACCATTGAACAACGATGGGTAGTCACGGCTGCTACCACCTCCTCCATATTTAAAAGGGCCAAGAGAGATGCCACAACGAGTAGCATCTGATGAGCTATGGTAGTTATAGCTAGTGTCCCCACCATTGAACAACGATGAGTAGTCACGGCTGCTACCACCTCCTCCATACTTACAAGGACCAAGAGAGAGGCCACAACGAGTAGCATCTGATGATAAGTAGTTATAGCTAGTGTCCCGGGTGCAGGAACGGTAAGGAGTCACAGGATAGCCCATGAACATGCCCATATCGATGATACCTCCCGTGTATCTTCCATTGGACGACGGGAAAGTGGTTGTTATGACGCTGCTGCGGGCGCCTCCTACGGACTCAAGAGGAATACCATAAGGGATGTTATCATTTGATAAAGGAGCACCTTGTGAAGGCCCACCAAAGACCAAGCCAGACGTGCCTTGGGAATATGGCGTCTTCCAAACGCCTTGTCCATCTATCTTCTCCAACTCTTGGCCAACCTTGTGGCTTATTTGGTGACTAAATAGGGCATTAGCGCTTGGGAACCTTTTGTTGCATATGTTGCACAAAGGGAGAGTATTTTCCATCGGTAGTGGATCTGCTCGGGCATCACCCAATCCGAAGCTAGGCCTCTCAGTGTTCTTCCTTTCAGAGACAACCTCAGTGATTGTCCCTTCAGGCACAACCTCAGCAATTGTCCCTTCCGGCACAACCTCAGTGATTTTCCCTTCAAGCACAACCTCTGGGACTGGGAGAGGGTACTCTTGCTTTTCCTCCACGGCCACAATGACAGTTTTGAGTTCCTGGTCAGATTTGGAGGAGGAGGAGGAGTTTGAAGAAGCAACGACAGTTTGGAGTTTCTGGTCAGGTTTGGAGGAGGAAGAGGAGTTTGAAGAAGCAACAATAGTTTTGAGTTCCTGGTCAGGTTTGGAGGAGGAGGAGGAGTTTGAAGAAGACATAGCTTGGCTAACAATTTGATTTATAAGAATTTGGTGGGAGTTAGAGTGATATGATCTTATCTCTTCTGTGTTGGATTCTTAGAAAAGGAAGACACTATTTATTGAGAGGATTCATTATCGTTAGTTAATCTCTTAAGGTAGAAAATCTCTGAGGGTAAATTTACACCATATATTCTACTTTGCTTTCCTAATTTTCTTTTAAAAGATATCGTTTGTTATCTTATTATCTTTAGTTTACTAATATGATGATATTTCATATTTGAATCTAAATAAAATAATATATCTATAAAAAAAATAACAACTGTGTATTTTTCTTAATTATTTTTTCTGTTTGTGTTTTCAGTTTCTTACTTTCTATGTTATTATTAGGAAAAAATCAGGACAGTAAAGACAATACTAATTACGAGATATGGTGCATGAACTTCAAAGAATAGCAGTTTTATTCCTAAATTATATTTCCATGTGGCGAATATAGTAAAGGGAGAAGGGGTGCATGTGCACCTAGTGTTTTAAAAAGAAATTAATGTAATTTTTAAGCTAATTATATTTGTGTATCCACTTAATTTGGACTTGTGTCCATTCTTTTGATTAATTCTATACACTCACATAAAAATTAAATAAAAGAAAAATAAGAAAAACCCATTTAACAAAAATAATAAAATTATATTAAATATGAAATTCATTATATTCTTTAAGTTATTGCATTTAAAATCTCTTAAATTTAATTTTTAGTATTTATTTAAAAGATAGTATGTTATAATAATTTTAATATTTTCTTCAATATTCATTAATCTAATATTTGTGTCCCCATTAAAAAATGTTTAGATTCACCCTTGATTTCGAGATATAAAAGATTAGAATATAATATATGAATACCATTAACGCTAGATTTTTCTTTAATAACTCAATGAAACTAATGGCTAAAACTTCCAACATACATAATTGAACCATGATAGAGATTAACAAGCACATCCATTTCCGCAGAATTTTTTTCACCTTAGACATCTATGATATTTTGATATTTTGGCTATATTTTTTTCCTAGCCAAATTCATTATATACAGATTTTTCTTTTGTCATTTTGAAACTTCGATTTAAGTCATCTTTTAGGATTAGAAGTCTCTTATGTTTTTAGAATTTTATAAGAAATACTTTTTAATTAAACTATTTTTTTAATTAAAAAGATGCAGCTAAACCTTACCTACAATCTAGTGATTTATACACTTTAGTAAAATGTAAAAAATGACAAAAAAAACTGGTACAACAATAGGCATGATCAATATATTTTTCTTGTTTCTAATCTTTTGAATCTTAAAATTAGTCGACCTGAAGTTTATCAATACAACAAAACCTCCAGCTCACTCAGAAGTATCACAATGCGACGTCGAATCAAAACCGGCAAAGGAGTTGGGCCCAAACAATACTAAGCCCACCAATAAGCCCAACAACTCCCAACGGTCATCTCTCCAGCTTCACGACAAAACCAGAGTCTCTGCAGAGATGAGAAAGACGACGATGAGCTGCAGTAGTACGGAGGAGGCAATCCCGACGAGCAACAGCTTTGGCGTTTTGTCAATCATTGACTGACCTCTAGTTAAGCGACACTTGGCATTTGGGTTGAGGAGAGCATCCTGTAGCTTCGTGTATAAATACACAACTCCTCTGTAATCGTTCTCTCAAGTTGAATAAAAAGAAGAACAAAACTTTATCTTCATTACATTTCCTGTTTTGCTTTTATGGTATCAGAGCCTCCGGTCGTTTATGGACCCATGGCGAGCTCAGCTTTTTCCACACCAACCTCTGCACCGGGCACGTCAAACGTTGCGCCACCAACAAATGTTGCGCCTCCGGAGACTACTCCTCGACCTCCACAGAGCACGATTCGAACTCAGGCGAATGGAGATCCAGTTCCACCTGCGACGCCAGCGTCAGCTCCACCACTTACTCGTCCTCCGACGTTCTATTCATCATCACCAGCGCCTGCTCTCAGCGTTGTCTCGTCACCACTAAATCTCTCTCATTGTGTGACTCTTCGTTTGAACGCCTCCAACTATCTCCTGTGGAAGACTCAGTTCGAACACTGGCTATCTAGCCAGAAGCTTGTTGGTCATGTTAATGGTAGTTCTCCCCGTCCTCCGGCCTCACTCGTTCTTCGGATTGGAGACAACATCACAGAAGCACCTAATCCTGAACTGTTGGTTTGGCTTCAAAACGACCAGACAGTTCTTGCTTGGCTCTTTGGTTCTATGTCTGAAGAGGCTCTGCGCTCGGTCTACGGTCTTCACACCGCCGCTGAGGTTTGGCTGGCCTTAGCAAGGAAATACAATCGCATCTCAGCCTCCCGTAGATTTGACCTTCAACGCAGGCTTCAAACCGTCTTTAAAGATGGTAAATCTATGCCTGATTACATTAATGAAGTCAAAACTATCTGTGATCAGCTATATTCCATCGGTTGTGCTGTTGATGATAATGAAAAGATCTATGGTTTCATCCATGGGTTGGGCCAAGAATATCAGGCTATTACTGCAGTCATTGAAAACGCTATGGATACCTACCCTTATCCAAGCTTTGAAGATATTGTGGTAAAAGTTTCAAACTTTGAAGACAAGCTTCAGTCTTACGCCTCCAGCTCCACTGTTGTTCCTCACCTTGCCTTTTCCACTCAGAAGACAGGAGCGCTTTCCTTCAACAACAACAACAACAGGGGAAGAAATAACTCTGGTGGTCGGTTCAATTCCAACAGAGGAAGGGGCTCATTCTCAACACGAGGAAGAGGATTTCCTCAGCAGATCTCCAGCTCAAACTCCTCCTCTGATGGTACGATCAAAGTGTCTTGTCAGATCTGTGGAAAGTTGGGCCATCCTGCGTTGAAATGCTGGCACCGATTTGATAATGCTTATCAGTATGAAGACGGTCCCTCAGCTATGGCTGCAATGCGAATAACAGATGTCACAGAGTCTTCTGGCCTTGAATGGTACCCTGATACTGGTGCTTCAGCTTATGTCACAAGTTCTCCACAACACCTGCAGCAGTCTCAGTCCTATGCCGGCTCCGACTCAGTAATGGTAGGAAATGGAGAGTTCCTCCCCATCACTCACACCGGATCAACTACATTAGCTTCGACTTCAGGTACGCTCCCTCTAGTTGATGTTCTGGTTTGTCCGAATATAGCAAAGCCTCTCTTATCTGTATCTAAGATTACTGCGGATTATCCCTGTTCGTTTGAATTTGATTGTCATGGGGTAACTGTTAAGGACAAGACCACAAAGAGAGTGCTCCTATCGGGAAGCAGCGCTAATGGACTCTATCGTTTGAAGAACCAACCGGCTCAAGCTTACTTCTCCTCTAGGCAACATTGCGTCAGTAATGATGTTTGGCATAAGAGACTTGGCCACCCAAATAAGCAAGTTCTGCATCTTCTTTCTTCTAATCAAGCCATCAAAATAAGCACCAGTATCAATCGGATGTGCGAGTCATGTCAGCTTGGAAAGAGCAGTAGATTACCCTTTTATCAGTCTTCTTTTTCTGCATCTAGGCCTCTTGAACGTGTACACTCTGACCTCTGGGGTCCAGCACCTGTTGTTTCGGGTCAGGGGTTCAGATTTTATGTCGTTTTCATAGATCATTGGTCTAGATTCTGTTGGTTTTACCCACTGAAATATAAATCAGACTTTTATGCTACATTCTGTGTATTTCAACACATGGTGGAAAATCAGTTTAACTGTAAGATCGGTACATTTCAGTGTGACGGTGGTGGGGAATTCACAAGCAAGAAATTCTTAACTCACCTACAACATTCTGGTATACAACAACACATTTCTTGCCCCTATACACCCCAGCAAAATGGATTAGCTGAACGTAAACACCGTCACCTTACTGAGTTGGGATTATCAATGATGTTTGAAAGCAAGATGCCTCTGAAGTTTTGGGTTGAATCGTTTTTCACTGCAAACTTCTTAAGCAATCTTCTTCCTACATCTGCTCTTGAATCGTCTGTAAGTCCCTTTGAAAAACTATTTGGGAAGAAACCTGACTACACATCTCTCAGAGTCTTCGGTTGTGCATGTTATCCAACACTCCGAGACTACTCAAAGAACAAGTTTGATCCAAGGTCTTTGAGGTGCATCTTCCTTGGCTACAACGACAAGTATAAGGGGTATCGGTGCTACCTTCCCACCACTGGAAGAGTTTTCATAAGTCGCCATGTCATCTTTGATGAACATGTGTATCCCTTTGCTACCTTATACCTGGATGCTCACTCAGAAGTATCAACACCTCTTCTTCAGGCATGGCAGAAAAGCTTTCTTCCAGCTACTGTAAGTTCTTCAGAACAGATTCCTTCGACCGGATCAACATCGTCAGCTTACTTCCCCTCTGCAGAGTCCACAGACTCAACATCAATCTTTGTAAACTCTGACTTTCCACCTCTGCAACGTCCGGTGTCAGTGCTCAAGCCTTCTTATCAGACAATCAGAGCTGATCAGTCTACTAGAAGTGAAAGCAGGAATTCTGGGTGTACGGCAGGCACAGATCCTGTTCCTATAGGCAACAGTTCTTTGCTTTCACCTTCTGGGACAGATTCCTCAGTATCTCGCTGTTCATCTACACCGGTAACTCCAGCTTCACTCTCTGTTGCATCATCTCCTTTGTCCACTGACAGTTCTAGCGCCTTGAGTCATAACTCTACCGCACGACAAACCACTCCCTCCCTTCCCGGTCACAAGATGATTACAAGGGCCAAGGAAGGTATTTTTAAACCCAATCCTCGTTACGCTTTACTTACACATAAGGCTGCATATCCAGAGCCTCGTTCAGTTGCCTCGGCGTTGAAGCATCCAGGATGGCACAATGCAATGTCTGAGGAAATGTCCAACTGCTCTGAAACGAACACATGGAGTTTAGTTCCCCGAGCTCCTGGCATGAACATACTAGGTAGCAAATGGGTTTTTAGAACAAAACTTCATGCGGATGGATCATTAGATAAACTCAAAGCTAGGTTGGTTGCAAAAGGATATAATCAGCAAGAGGGAGTAGACTTCTTGGAAACGTATAGTCCTGTTGTCAGAACGGCTACAGTTCGATCAGTTCTACATCTTGCAACCATTATGGATTGGGATGTGAAACAAATGGATGTTAAGAATGCCTTTTTACATGGGGATCTCTCTGAAACGGTTTACATGACTCAACCAACTGGTTTTGAAGACAAAGCACATCCTGACTACGTTTGTCGACTGAATAAGTCCCTATACGGTCTCAAACAGTCCCCTCGGGCATGGTTTGATAAATTCAGCTCATTTCTTCTGGACTTCGGATTTGTCTGTAGCAACAAGGACCCCTCGCTCTTCATCTACTCGAAGCAAAAAGACATTATTCTTCTCCTTCTTTATGTTGATGACATGGTCATCACAGGCAGTGGCTCCTGTATTCTGCAGTCCCTTCTATCCGAGTTGAATAAGCACTTTCGCATGAAAGATATGGGGCAGCTGCACTATTTTCTTGGGATTCAAGCACGTTTTCATTCAGAGGGGCTCTTCCTCTCTCAACAAAAATATGCAGAGGATTTACTGGCTATTGCAGGGATGACTGATTGTTCACCTATGCCAACTCCACTTCCGATTCAGCTTGATCGAGTTCCTCATCAAAATGAACTCTTCTCCAATCCCACATACTTCCGGAGTTTAGCAGGCAAGCTTCAGTATCTAACGCTGACAAGACCGGATATTCAATTTGCAGTCAACTATGTGTGTCAAAAGATGCACTCCCCCACTATATCTGACTTCATGCTTCTCAAACGGATCTTACGTTACATAAAAGGGACAGTAACAATGGGCATTAACTTCAACAAGGGAACAGACTGTGTAATGCGTGTGTACAGCGATAGTGATTGGGCGGGCTGCAAAGAGACCAGACGCTCTACTGGTGGTTTTTGTACCTTCTTAGGCAATAATATCATCTCGTGGTCCTCAAAGAAACAGCCTACAGTCTCTAAGAGCTCAACGGAAGCCGAGTACAGAACAATGTCTGAGGCTGCGTCTGAAGTCACTTGGCTTAGTTCCCTTCTCAAAGAGATAGGCGTATCCATCCCTGCCACTCCCGAACTTTTCTGTGATAATCTCTCTGCAGTTCGACTCACTGCGAATCCCACTTTCCATGGCAGAACAAAGCACTTTGAGTTAGACCACCATTACGTTCGTGAAAGAGTTGCTTTGGGGTCTCTCATCGTTAATCACATCCCTTCTCCGCAGCAATTGGCTGAAGTCTTTACCAAGTCCTTGCCCTGTGAAGCGTTCTGTTCTTTGAGGTACAAACTTGGTGTAGACTACCCACCAACACCAAGTTTGAGAGGGGCTATCAATACAACAAAACCTCCAGCTCACTCAGAAGTATCACAATGCGACGTCGAATCAAAACCGGCAAAGGAGTTGGGCCCAAACAATACTAAGCCCACCAATAAGCCCAACAACTCCCAACGGTCATCTCTCCAGCTTCACGACAAAACCAGAGTCTCTGCAGAGATGAGAAAGACGACGATGAGCTGCAGTAGTACGGAGGAGGCAATCCCGACGAGCAACAGCTTTGGCGTTTTGTCAATCATTGACTGACCTCTAGTTAAGCGACACTTGGCATTTGGGTTGAGGAGAGCATCCTGTAGCTTCGTGTATAAATACACAACTCCTCTGTAATCGTTCTCTCAAGTTGAATAAAAAGAAGAACAAAACTTTATCTTCATTACATTTCCTGTTTTGCTTTTATGGTATCAGAGCCTCCGGTCGTTTATGGACCCATGGCGAGCTCAGCTTTTTCCACACCAACCTCTGCACCGGGCACGTCAAACGTTGCGCCACCAACAAATGTTGCGCCTCCGGAGACTACTCCTCGACCTCCACAGAGCACGATTCGAACTCAGGCGAATGGAGATCCAGTTCCACCTGCGACGCCAGCGTCAGCTCCACCACTTACTCGTCCTCCGACGTTCTATTCATCATCACCAGCGCCTGCTCTCAGCGTTGTCTCGTCACCACTAAATCTCTCTTATTGTGTGACTCTTCGTTTGAACGCCTCCAACTATCTCCTGTGGAAGACTCAGTTCGAACACTGGCTATCTAGCCAGAAGCTTGTTGGTCATGTTAATGGTAGTTCTCCCCGTCCTCCGGCCTCACTCGTTCTTCGGATTGGAGACAACATCACAGAAGCACCTAATCCTGAACTGTTGGTTTGGCTTCAAAACGACCAGACAGTTCTTGCTTGGCTCTTTGGTTCTATGTCTGAAGAGGCTCTGCGCTCGGTCTACGGTCTTCACACCGCCGCTGAGGTTTGGCTGGCCTTAGCAAGGAAATACAATCGCATCTCAGCCTCCCGTAGATTTGACCTTCAACGCAGGCTTCAAACCGTCTTTAAAGATGGTAAATCTATGCCTGATTACATTAATGAAGTCAAAACTATCTGTGATCAGCTATATTCCATCGGTTGTGCTGTTGATGATAATGAAAAGATCTATGGTTTCATCCATGGGTTGGGCCAAGAATATCAGGCTATTACTGCAGTCATTGAAAACGCTATGGATACCTACCCTTATCCAAGCTTTGAAGATATTGTGGTAAAAGTTTCAAACTTTGAAGACAAGCTTCAGTCTTACGCCTCCAGCTCCACTGTTGTTCCTCACCTTGCCTTTTCCACTCAGAAGACAGGAGCGCTTTCCTTCAACAACAACAACAACAGGAGAAGAAATAACTCTGGTGGTCGGTTCAATTCCAACAGAGGAAGGGGCTCATTCTCAACACGAGGAAGAGGATTTCCTCAGCAGATCTCCAGCTCAAACTCCTCCTCTGATGGTACGATCAAAGTGTCTTGTCAGATCTGTGGAAAGTTGGGCCATCCTGCGTTGAAATGCTGGCACCGATTTGATAATGCTTATCAGTATGAAGACGGTCCCTCAGCTATGGCTGCAATGCGAATAACAGATGTCACAGAGTCTTCTGGCCTTGAATGGTACCCTGATACTGGTGCTTCAGCTCATGTCACAAGTTCTCCACAACACCTGCAGCAGTCTCAGTCCTATGCCGGCTCCGACTCAGTAATGGTAGGAAATGGAGAGTTCCTCCCCATCACTCACACCGGATCAACTACATTAGCTTCGACTTCAGGTACGCTCCCTCTAGTTGATGTTCTGGTTTGTCCGAATATAGCAAAGCCTCTCTTATCTGTATCTAAGATTACTGCGGATTATCCCTGTTCGTTTGAATTTGATTGTCATGGGGTAACTGTTAAGGACAAGACCACAAAGAGAGTGCTCCTATCGGGAAGCAGCACTAATGGACTCTATCGTTTGAAGAACCAACCGGCTCAAGCTTACTTCTCCTCTAGGCAACATTGCGTCAGTAATGATGTTTGGCATAGGAGACTTGGCCACCCAAATAAGCAAGTTCTGCATCTTCTTTCTTCTAATCAAGCCATCAAAATAAGCACCAGTATCAATCGGATGTGCGAGTCATGTCAGCTTGGAAAGAGCAGTAGATTACCCTTTTATCAGTCTTCTTTTTCTGCATCTAGGCCTCTTGAACGTGTACACTCTGACCTCTGGGGTCCAGCACCTGTTGTTTCGGGTCAGGGGTTCAGATTTTATGTCGTTTTCATAGATCATTGGTCTAGATTCTGTTGGTTTTACCCACTGAAATATAAATCAGACTTTTATGCTACATTCTGTGTATTTCAACACATGGTGGAAAATCAGTTTAACTGTAAGATCGGTACATTTCAGTGTGACGGTGGTGGGGAATTCACAAGCAAGAAATTCTTAACTCACCTACAACATTCTGGTATACAACAACACATTTCTTGCCCCTATACACCCCAGCAAAATGGATTAGCTGAACGTAAACACCGTCACCTTACTGAGTTGGGATTATCAATGATGTTTGAAAGCAAGATGCCTCTGAAGTTTTGGGTTGAATCGTTTTTCACTGCAAACTTCTTAAGCAATCTTCTTCCTACATCTGCTCTTGAATCGTCTATAAGTCCCTTTGAAAAACTATTTGGGAAGAAACCTGACTACACATCTCTCAGAGTCTTCGGTTGTGCATGTTATCCAACACTCCGAGACTACTCAAAGAACAAGTTTGATCCAAGGTCTTTGAGGTGCATCTTCCTTGGCTACAACGACAAGTATAAGGGGTATCGGTGCTACCTTCCCACCACTGGAAGAGTTTTCATAAGTCGCCATGTCATCTTTGATGAACATGTGTATCCCTTTGCTACCTTATACCTGGATGCTCACTCAGAAGTATCAACACCTCTTCTTCAGGCATGGCAGAAAAGCTTTCTTCCAGCTACTGTAAGTTCTTCAGAACAGATTCCTTCGACCGGATCAACATCGTCAGCTTACTTCCCCTCTGCAGAGTCCACAGACTCAACATCAATCTTTGTAAACTCTGACTTTCCACCTCTGCAACGTCCGGTGTCAGTGCTCAAGCCTTCTTATCAGACAATCAGAGCTGATCAGTCTACTAGAAGTGAAAGCAGGAATTCTGGGTGTACGGCAGGCACAGATCCTGTTCCTATAGGCAACAGTTCTTTGCTTTCACCTTCTGGGACAGATTCCTCAGTATCTCGCTGTTCATCTACACCGGTAACTCCAGCTTCACTCTCTGTTGCATCATCTCCTTTGTCCACTGACAGTTCTAGCGCCTTGAGTCATAACTCTACCGCACGACAAACCACTCCCTCCCTTCCCGGTCACAAGATGATTACAAGGGCCAAGGAAGGTATTTTTAAACCCAATCCTCGTTACGCTTTACTTACACATAAGGCTGCATATCCAGAGCCTCGTTCAGTTGCCTCGGCGTTGAAGCATCCAGGATGGCACAATGCAATGTCTGAGGAAATGTCCAACTGCTCTGAAACGAACACATGGAGTTTAGTTCCCCGAGCTCCTGGCATGAACATACTAGGTAGCAAATGGGTTTTTAGAACAAAACTTCATGCGGATGGATCATTAGATAAACTCAAAGCTAGGTTGGTTGCAAAAGGATATAATCAGCAAGAGGGAGTAGACTTCTTGGAAACGTATAGTCCTGTTGTCAGAACGGCTACAGTTCGATCAGTTCTACATCTTGCAACCATTATGGATTGGGATGTGAAACAAATGGATGTTAAGAATGCCTTTTTACATGGGGATCTCTCTGAAACGGTTTACATGACTCAACCAACTGGTTTTGAAGACAAAGCACATCCTGACTACGTTTGTCGACTGAATAAGTCCCTATACGGTCTCAAACAGTCCCCTCGGGCATGGTTTGATAAATTCAGCTCATTTCTTCTGGACTTCGGATTTGTCTGTAGCAACAAGGACCCCTCGCTCTTCATCTACTCGAAGCAAAAAGACATTATTCTTCTCCTTCTTTATGTTGATGACATGGTCATCACAGGCAGTGGCTCCTGTATTCTGCAGTCCCTTCTATCCGAGTTGAATAAGCACTTTCGCATGAAAGATATGGGGCAGCTGCACTATTTTCTTGGGATTCAAGCACGTTTTCATTCAGAGGGGCTCTTCCTCTCTCAACAAAAATATGCAGAGGATTTACTGGCTATTGCAGGGATGACTGATTGTTCACCTATGCCAACTCCACTTCCGATTCAGCTTGATCGAGTTCCTCATCAAAATGAACTCTTCTCCAATCCCACATACTTTCGGAGTTTAGCAGGCAAGCTTCAGTATCTAACGCTGACAAGACCGGATATTCAATTTGCAGTCAACTATGTGTGTCAAAAGATGCACTCCCCCACTATATCTGACTTCATGCTTCTCAAACGGATCTTACGTTACATAAAAGGGACAGTAACAATGGGCATTAACTTCAACAAGGGAACAGACTGTGTAATGCGTGTGTACAGCGATAGTGATTGGGCGGGCTGCAAAGAGACCAGACGCTCTACTGGTGGTTTTTGTACCTTCTTAGGCAATAATATCATCTCGTGGTCCTCAAAGAAACAGCCTACAGTCTCTAAGAGCTCAACGGAATCCGAGTACAGAACAATGTCCGAGGCTGCGTCTGAAGTCACTTGGCTTAGTTCCCTTCTCAAAGAGATAGGCGTATCCATCCCTGCCACTCCCGAACTTTTCTGTGATAATCTCTCTGCAGTTCGACTCACTGCGAATCCCACTTTCCATGGCAGAACAAAGCACTTTGAGTTAGACCACCATTACGTTCGTGAAAGAGTTGCTTTGGGGTCTCTCATCGTTAATCACATCCCTTCTCCGCAGCAATTGGCTGATGTCTTTACCAAGTCCTTGCCCTGTGAAGCGTTCTGTTCTTTGAGGTACAAACTTGGTGTAGACTACCCACCAACACCAAGTTTGAGAGGGGCTATCAATACAACAAAACCTCCAGCTCACTCAGAAGTATCACAATGCGACGTCGAATCAAAACCGGCAAAGGAGTTGGGCCCAAACAATACTAAGCCCACCAATAAGCCCAACAACTCCCAACGGTCATCTCTCCAGCTTCACGACAAAACCAGAGTCTCTGCAGAGATGAGAAAGACGACGATGAGCTGCAGTAGTACGGAGGAGGCAATCCCGACGAGCAACAGCTTTGGCGTTTTGTCAATCATTGACTGACCTCTAGTTAAGCGACACTTGGCATTAGGGTTGAGGAGAGCATCCTGTAGCTTTGTGTATAAATACACAACTCCTCTGTAATCGTTCTTTATCTTCATTACATTTCCTGTTTTGCTTTTAAAGTTTACAACCAAAAAGAGGAGATATCGACTCTTTTTGCTTTGTTTATTTGGATTATGCATGTTAATTAATTTGTGATTAAACATTTGGTTTTCACCATGGTGTGACTTTCCTATTAAATTTATTAAAATGAAAAAGTTTTTTTTTCTATCAATATTTATCATATAGACTGAACCAAAAGTCCTAACATTAAGATCTCTCTTATTTTGCTTTGCAATTTGAATTTCTTGTCAAATCCCAAGTTTGAAGCATAACTCTTGGAGGATAAATATAGTATATGTTTGTTCTTATAACCATAATGTGTGTTTGTTCTTATAATTTAGAAGCACATGATTATTAAATCTTGATGAACATAATCAAATTAGGCTGTGTTAATACTTTGTATTTGTAAATGGCTAATCAAACTATAATTGATGTTTAATGTTATTTATATCTATTTATGGTTCTCACTACAAGCGATAACTAAAATCATATAGTATGTTAGGAATCCTTGAGATATTATAATTGTTTAAATGTGAATTGTGTCTTGGATGCAGTCTCTAACTAGGTTATGGAACAAGTTTTGAAGTATTTTTAGAGACAGTTGTGTTAATACTTTGTAATCATAATTAGCCAATTAAACTATAATTGATGTTTAATGTTACTTAGATCTATTTTACAATACACATTACAAGCGATACCAAAGTATATAGTAATTTAGGAATATTTAAGATATTCTAATTTTGTTTTGAATGGAAACACTACACCTCTTGAGATATTATAATTGTTTAAATTTGAACTGTGTCCTGGTCCTGGATGCATCTTCTAATTAGGTTAATTGAAATAAATTTTGGAGTATTTTTAGAGACAGAGACGTCCTGAGCAAGTTACTTCTATAAGTAAGGTTGCTTTGAAGGCACTAACAGATGTTGAGGTTAAGAGGAACCCGGCTGGACATCATTTTGGCATAGGATGTTTCCTGCACTTTTGCCGATTCAACTTATTGCTGAACGTCAAGAACATGAAGATTGAACAGCTGTTGGTCGAGAAAAAGAAGACTTCAAGTGAGCCAACAGTACCAAATGAAGTTTTACAAAAATAAAATATGTCCAAAGCATCACAAAGTAATTGGAACCAATACAACAACTCCAAACTTCAAAGTGGAAACAAACATAACAGATTAGGTGGCCATGTGATTATTTTCCACCTTCTAATCTCAATCTTATTTTTAACGAAGAGTAAAACCACTTAACCGGAAAGAAAACAAAACAAAAAAAGTTAAATAAACCCACCTATGCCTTTTGATAAGTCAAAATCAACTACAAAGGTTTGCAATGGTAATTATTAAATAAATTCTGAAACATTTAGTAAGAAATTAATCACCTATATTATTCAAGGTAGATATTATTCCAATTTTACATAACGGATTTTAGAACTTTCATGTGTAAGGTTTTAAAAAGTTTCCACGGTGCAATTACGAGTGAACCGAAACATGTATTTAGAAACCCAAACCGACACTAAACCGAAAACAATTTTAATTTTGAAATTGAAAAAAAAAAGTCAAAACGAAACCGAATGTAAACCAGTCCCATAATCTGAACGGTCCAAAAGTATTGACCCATTTTCTCTCTCTCTCTCTCTCTCTCTCTCTCTCTCTCTCTCTCTCTCTCTCTCTCTCTCTCTCTCTCTCTCTCTCTCTCTCTCTCTCTCTCTGGGTCGCTCAATCTGAAAGGGCAAGAAAAGGATTGTTTTTTTTTTTTTTGAGGAAGAGGAGAGAGATTGAGAGAGCGCTGAAGGCGGAAAAGACCGTTTTGACCTTGTCGTCTCCCGCAGATTTTTTCTTCAGCTCTTCCTCTTTGCCGGATTCATCTCCGATACTCTCCATCTTCGATTTATCCACCATGAACGAGAAAGCCAACGTCTCTAAGGAGCTTAATGCCCGGCATAGAAAGGTCTCTGAATCTCTCAGATTCTTTTTCGTTTTCCCTTTTTTCCGAGCTTTGCGGATTTGTTGTCATGTATCTGAATTTGGTTGCCAACGATCGATGATCAATCATGAAAGCATTCTGGAAGATCTTAATTCGATTGGATCTGTGTTTTTAGCAGCTACTGTTCTTCGTTTTCGTCGATTTCCTGTGGTTAGGTGCGATTTTAATGTTTTTTTTGTTCGTCAATCCTCCGTCTTCCGATCGTTTCAGCTGGGATGTTCTTCATCAGATTATCCATTTCGATTTGGTTTTACAGGAGAATAGCTTATCACGATCGGTTTTTGATTTTGATTTTATGATTGTTCTATCAACGTAGGCCTACTGAATTTTCCTACAGAAACATTTCTTCTCCTTGATCACCACATAAAGGCGATACGATCTCGTTCAGTTTAAAATTTTCTATAGAAATTCGATTTCCATTGATTGATTTTGGACGAAGTGAACAAAGGGATCAAACAAAACGCTTCCTTCAGGATTTTTCATTTACTTGTTTATGGTAGCTTTGGAGGTTTCTGCCTAGTTGGGATAGTTTTGTAGGCTTGGTGATTCATACATACGTGTATAGGCTTGAAGCATGTCAGGTCTTCGAGAACTCTAAACTTATCTTGATGATTAGATCTGCTACTCGTGGCTGCTATGAGAATTTTGATTCATTTTGGTTTGTTAAACATGTCAATTCTGTTAATTTCAACTTTGTTCTTCGATGTGATCTATAATTTCTTGGTGATAGATTCTTCATTATATTTGGTTTAGTCTATTGCTTGAATATTCCTTGGTATTGATACTGCTTATTTGCAGATTCTTGAAGGGCTTCTTAAACATCCAGAGAACAGAGAATGCGCTGACTGCAAAGCAAAGTATGATTTGTAGCAGATGTGAAGTATCAGCATTTTGCTGGCTCGTTTATATGTTTGGCTAATACTATTCCATTCGCTTTGCAGAGGTCCAAGATGGGCTAGTGTTAATTTAGGTATCTTTATCTGCATGCAATGTTCTGGGATTCACAGGAGTCTCGGGGTACACATATCAAAGGTCGTTTCTCAGTTTCCTTTCTACACCTTTTTTCTCGATGCTGCATTTCGATATAAAAGCTCAGATCTTAGTTTGATGTTCTTGTTACTATGAAACTCATTCCATCTGGCTCGAATTCTCTGCAAACTGTCAGTTTGGTATTCTACAAGTTTTTCATATCTGCAGTTTCATCCAGTACTTCCATCTCAAGAGTTACTTCTGTAGGTCTGTAGCTGAGAATTCTGACTTGAATGCATCAAATATCTCTGCTTTTCTGTGGTGTTCCTTCCCTAACTAGGAAAAAATGTCATTTATCCAGTTTATACACGTACCCTTAAGTAATTCTGTGCAAAATTACATGATTTAGTTGTGCCTTCAGATTTCTTATATGAGCTTGGTTCATCTGGTCAAGTCGATCTTAAGTCTTAACGTTAGCAGCATAAGCGACTTAATTGGTCTAGCGAAACATCTGAGTTTTGTGCTGATGAGTGTAGGTTCGATCTGCAACTCTGGACACATGGCTCCCGGAGCAGGTTGCATTTATTCAATGTAAGTGTCTTTCAAACTTACCTCTCTGGAGGTGGTCCATGTTTAGACGGGTTAGTTGCGCTGAGTAAAGTATATAATGGGTTAGTTGCGCTGAGTAAAGTATATAATCTTTTATTTGCATGCAGCAATGGGAAATGAGAAAGCAAATAGTTACTGGGAAGCTGATCTACCCCCAAACTATGATAGAGTTGGAATTGAGAATTTCATACGTGCAAAGTATGCTCCTCTCTTTTCAGTTTACAAACTCCTGAATGAATTGTTTTTATCTTGCTATGAATATTGACATTGAATTAATTCTTGTGACATGACTTTTCTAGGTATGAAGAGAAGAGATGGGTTTCTAGAGGTGAAAAGGCTAGATCACCCCCAAGAGTCGAGCAAGAACGGCGGAGATCTGTGGAGAGAAGTGGGCCTGGATATGAGCATGGGCACAGTAGTAGTCCCGTAAATTTGTTTGAGGAGAAGAAAACTATCCAAGCACCTAGAACAAGAAATAGTATTGCTGCAACGAGGATAAGTCTTCCCGTGCCTCCCCAAGGACCTGATCAGGTACCAAACATACTCACCAGACGATATTTGTTACTGCAGAAATTAGTGCCTTTAGTTACCCCATAATAGTCAAGAATCAACATTCCACGATCATGTTTAATAACCTTAGGATATCAGACGTAATGCATATGTTGTAGATGTCAGACTTTATATCTTAAATCTAATAGACAACTTTCTTTCTTGGGCATCATCAAAGCCTGAAATCTTTTTAAAAGTATCCAAAGCATAGTTTTTCTGATACATGATGCTAAAAAAATAATAGGTTATAAAACCACAGCAGAAAATCGAATCTGCAGCGGCTCCCGTGGAGACGACAAAACCGGCAGTAAATGTTGCACCAGCATCAGATCCTCCTAAGGTGGATTTTGCTACTGACCTTTTCAACATGCTATCAATGGATGAGCCGACTGCAAATACCTCAGAGACAGCTCCTGCTGATGATAACTCATGGGCTGGCTTTCAGTGTATGTATCTATCTAGCATGTGCATGACTTAATCATGATCATTGTGACACATTTTTTTCATATCCTTGTAAACTTGATGTTACTCGTTCTTAATATATTAAATTCTGAATCCTAAAATTGTAGCGGCTGGAAGCGGTCAAACGGCAGAGAAAATTGTCACAGCGAAGCCTGTTGAGAGCAGTTCTCCTCCAGCTACTGGGATCGAGGATTTGTTTAAAGACACACCTACTTTAACAGCCCAACAAGCACCACAGAAAGATGTGAAAGGTGATATCATGAGCTTATTTGAGAAGGTAAATTCTTAGTCAGTTTATATTACTCTTCTCAACTTCTTTGTTGGGTCAACCTTTCTATTGATTCTCAATTCTCATCTTTCCAAGTTTCTTTTGTATCGCTATTAACTTACAAGTTACAAATATAGCGACTGATACTTCCAACTCAAAACCGATGTTAAAACCGATGTTTTGCGTCTTGTTATCACTTACTCTCATTTTTTCAACACTGCACATTTGGAATTTCCAGACCATAGTCAAGTGAAATAACTGTGTCTTTCATTTATTTTCAGTCGAATATGGTGTCGCCTTTTGCCATGCATCAGCAACAGGTTGCTATGCTTGCTCAGCAGCAAGCCCTTTACATGGCTGCAGCAAAAGCTGCAGGAGGCACTCCAAATGGTGTGAATCAACAAGCTGTTGCTAATGCTCTTAACTTAGCATCTGCAAATTGGTCAAACACTGGCTACCAGATCCCTGGAATGACTAACCCAGCAGGTGGTCAAGCTGATCTCCAGAAACTTATGCAAGTAAGATCTCCATTTTGTTTATATGTTTAGCAAGATCTAAATTACAGTTGACCAAGTTCTTGCAAAATCCTCACCAATTCTTGTTCTCTGTAATATCGCCATAACTTTTAGAACATGAACATGAACGCAAACATGAACATGAGACCCGCACAACCGCAAGAAAACAATTTACAGTATCCAGTATCCAGGTATGTAAACAAAAAAAAACTGGTTTCTGTTTATATCACCTATGAACTGTAAAGATTTCATTTAATCTGATATTAAGTGTGAGTTGTGAATAAGTGCTCTCTTGTTTTCATGACCTCCCACAGTTTTTCATTTGTGTCATCTTGTTATAGATTAAAGACAAGTGTTTAACTCAACTGTTAGTATAATGTCGGAAATAAGATATGTTTTATTTTTTGGGTTATGAATGCAGTTTCTACACGACGGGTCAAGTTAATTCGGTGAACGGTGTGACCCCAAACTCAACCGGTAAACCTCAGTCATCAGCCGCGGCGGCGCAACCAACGAGCACCACACCATCTTCTCAATCAGGCAAAGACTTTGATTTCTCTTCCTTAATGGATGGAATGTTCACAAAACATTGATCAAGTGAGAGACTTTTTTCCTGAATTTGCCTTTCTTAAAATTTGTCTTAAATTTGAAGAAACTACAAATATATACAATCATTGTTGGACAGTTTCTCCGTTAAACAATTGTTTTCTTTGAAACTGTGTTTGTAGTTTGGGCTTTGATTTTATTTGATTGTTGAAAGAGTAATATATGTAATTTCAAAGAAATTTCAAAAATTGAGATTTACCCATACGTGCATGCGATTGTGTGTGAGCTCCAGAAAACGTGGATTGTTCTCCTCCACATGCTGTTGTTTATTTGTTCTTTTTCATTTTATTTTATTAGCTTTATATTTAAATTAAAGAATTTATATAAATATGTATGAATTATTTAGACCACACTAATACCCAAAAGTTAACAACCGAAATCCACTTGTCGACAAAAACATCCGAAATCCATTTGCATTATTTTTTATGAGGAAAAAAGTCCACTTAATTTGTTGTTTGAAAGAAATTTGACTTTGGATTATCTAAATAAAACTTTAGATTGTTTGAGACATAAATTTGTGTGTACATTTGAGAAACATTTAACAAAAAAGATCACATACATTTAACCCAAAAAAAAAGATCATACATAAAATGTCTTTGTCAATGCAAGAAGAACTTAACATTACGTTTGCATTATCTTTTTGTGTTTACTGTTTACGATTTACAAATGAATCTTAAGTAGTCGTAGGTCCATTTGAAAAAAAAAAATCCCCAAGTAGTGTAACATTTTAACGTAAAAAATCAAACCCACAAAACAAATATTAAAATTTTAGTTAATAATTAAACCAAATTGTATACATAATTGAGTTATGATATTTTGTTTGTTTATGTAAAGTTTGATAACGTACGTTGAAAACAAAGAAACGGTTCGAAAACCCTATCAAAAACAAACTATCCACACCTTTATTGGTAAGATCAATAAAGGCGACGTGTTGATGTTGAACTCGTTATGGATGGCTATTTTAGCGTTTAAAAGGTTTTGAGTTTGGCATTGTCAAGACTTTTGGTCTTCAAATGGCTTAAACCTCATGATATCTCCTCCTTCACCACAATTTTTTGTACCTCCCTCTCGCCAACCTTCGTTTACCTTTTTCATTACAAGATGTCGTGAACCGATTCAATTGTAGATAATATATTTGCGACATTAATATTTGATTCTAAAATAGGTTTCTATATATTAATAGTACAAAGAGTTGTTACGCGATAATTGTGTTCATTCATGATAGCAAGTATAAGGTTCAAAAACAACAAAAAAATTGATAGCAAGAACTTTGTACTTTTAGGTTTCTCTCTACTTTTAATATTTTTTAAAATGTTTGTTCTAATCGTAAACTAAAAAGTCTACTTGATATAAATATATGTGATCAACGATGATGATAAAGTAAATTTTGTACCAATTCTTCAAATGCTCGCTTCATCAAAGTTAGATCTTCTATTTTGTACACTGGATTTGTTGAATATTATTTTTTTTACATTCTTGTCTCCTACGTCTATCGACCTCTCTAATGCAAACATAATAATATATATGAGAATACAACACATGAGACCACGTCCTACTTTAGGCTTATACATTTGTTTATTAAAAACAAAAATACCATGTCGGTCTTGTACAAAGCCTTTTTGAGGAGAATTTTAAGTCCTATTCATGTATTTAAAATAATGAAGTGCAATCAGTATCAAGCACCAAAATCCAAAATTGGTCGGTAGAATTTTGTTGTGCTTGTTGACCCGTAATGCGATGTATATCTTTCATGGGTTTGAATTGTCAAATCAAATCTACTATTAATATATACGCATACGCAGTCTTATGCAAAAAATATTGAACGTATGCATCGATCTCAATTATTTTTAATTTTAGATATGCATGTGCATGTCCTTATCTAAGTCATTATTCACACATATCAATTCATAATTCGTATTCTCACCGTTGAATTGCAACTACTAATTTTACAATTTTGATGAAATTGGCCTACATTACCTAAAAATCACAATTCAACAGTATTTGCTTTTATTATTTGTTTTTTCCCTGATTGTAACGTTTCTAGAACTATAATAAGTTTACATCAAAAAGAGAAAAAATCAAGCTTTTTAATTGCACATTAAAACGCTACAATTTTATTATCTTAATGTTTGTGATTGGTAACATCAGTATCATACTAGATTCAAAAAATATCAGTAGCATAGCATTGTGGTTAAAAAGTGGACTGCTTTTACTGTGACCAACTGAAAACGGTAAAGCTAAAACAAAACAAAGAAACAAAAACCTTATAAAACCCTTATCGTGTTTGTCTTAACTATTTCACATTATAATTACCATTAAAAGTCTTTTTTCGATTTATGTCATGTACTCCCAAAATAAGAATCAATCGGCTAAATCATCGTATCTCAATTCTCTTAAGCTTAATGGCATAAACTAGTACTCATTTCGTCAAATCACTAATCATGATGCAATGTTAGGTCAAAGTTAACTTCAAACGAAAGCATCAAAACCCAAACCACCACGTGTCACTCAGATAATAAGCCTCCATCACCATACCTTATAATAAGGGCCCACTTGTGATTCTGTGAAAAGCCCATACAATAAGGACCACATTTAAATTTTTTTACTTGTAATATATAAATACACACAACTTAATTAGCTTCTTTTGTAGATAAGAACCACCGAACAAACTTTAAAAAAGAAACTCCCGAGGCAAAAAAGAGTTCACCAATCACCATGCCTTTTCTTCTCCCAACCTCTTCCTCCAAAACGACGGCCACCGTCATCATCGCCGGCGTTTTATCTGTTGCGGCGGCGGTTGTTTTCGCAGTCCCTTTCGTTTCGCATTCCGTGGCGTCTTGCTTTCCGATCATCTACGATAACACAGTCTTCCTCCTCAAGCCACCGTATCTTTACTTAGTCATCAACTGTATCGTCGTCTCCATCGTCGCTACATCTAAGCTCACGCAGAAATCGTATTCCAGTATCGATGGTTCTGATATCGACACCGGTTATTTAAACGTGCCTCACGTCGCCGCTTCTGATTATACCGGATTTGTCGAGGATGATGCTCCGACGGCGGAAGGTGGCCAGAGATTTCCAGAAGTCGTCGATGATGAGAAGGTGATAATCGATGATGGAGAAGATCAGCAGACAGAGACGGAGACGCCGAAACCGAGCAACGATTCGCCGGAGTCGGAGACGGAGAAGCTAAAACCGAGCAGCAATTCGCCGGAGACGAAGAAGCCAAAACCGAAGAGTGATTCGATTCTGAAGAATACGAGGAAACCGCCGAGATTCGGTCAGCAAAAATCGCTTAGGAATAGTCCAGAAGGTAATCGAATCTCACACAAATTGGATTTGAATTTCTGGATGGAGAAGGTTCGGCTCGGAAAATTCGAATTTCTGAGAGGGGCAAAAAAGTAAATTTAACGGTTTTTCGAAATTTCAGCAGGTGGTGGGGGAAATAAAAAGTCGGCGTTGGGAGTGTCAAAGCCACCGAGGAGGCAAGACACGCTGGAGACGACGTGGAAGAAGATAACGGAAGGACGCTCGACGCCGTTAACGAAGCACTTGACGAAATCCGACACGTGGCAGGAAAGGACGCACGTGCAGAGTTCAAAGGAGAAGAAGATGACCAAGTCCGAGAACTTAAATGACATAAATGCCCCTGCGGAGGCGGAGGAGGAGGAGGAGACGCTGCGGAAGACGCGGTTGAAACGCGAGCCGTCACCGGGTCAGGAGGAGTTGAATCGACGTGTGGAAGCGTTTATCAAGAAGTTCAACGAGGAGATGAGGTTGCAAAGACTAGAATCTTTGGCTAAGTATAAAGAAATGGTAAATGGAGGGACTCGTTTGTAAATTTTCGTGTTTTCTTTTCTCTTTTAGCTGTCAATGAACACGAGAAAATGACGGCACCGGCACCGGCACCGGCACAGTCGCAAAAGTTGACTCTTTTTTAGAACCACTTAGAAGTTGTTGAATTTCCCTTCCAGGGAACACATTTCAGAAATAACGCAAAGTAGGAATATAAATATAAAAATGGTGTACTTATGTCCAAAGCCAAAAGAAAAAAGAAATGATAAATGTGTACCACTCAGAAGTGTGATTATGATTGTTTGTGTCAAAAATCACACTAATCTTGTGGTTTGAAATGAAGGGTAGACAGAGGCTACACAATAGTGATCGAATTTTTTGTTTTTGTTTTAAATAAACTTATTGTACTATAAACAAATATTATTTATACAGAAATGAGTGTGTGTAAAAATATTTACATGACCATAGTAGCAGCAGGAAAAAGCCTATCCAAGAATGTATACAAACCTCCTCCCAGTAGAAGAGCACCACTGGACAAAAACATCAAAATGAAAACCGAGATTTGATAAATTAACAAAATATGAAATCATTTAGCATTTGGTTGCCTCTAACATACCTTATGGGGTTGATCCATGCAGAGACTTTTCTGAACGAAAGTAAGCTCTGCAGAAATTCAAGACAATGAATCCACAGATTCTTATTAGTCCATCACAAAAGAACTTGCACATAAAACACATGTTACTTACCTGTAAAGCTCCAGCGAAGGAAGCAGCGAGGATGAGTGGAGCAACGTAACCTGTTGTATACGTCAAGAGCAAGCTTCCACCAATTACTGGATCCTGTGTTACACAACCATTACATTATTTAAGATTCTCTTTGCTAAAACTTTTTTTTTTGGGTGTAAATGTCAAGATCTTTGCTAAAACTTGATAACAAAGTAGAAATTTTTACTAGCTCTCATATTCAATCTTAAGGAGACAAAGCTGAATTACCCTGGAAGTAGCCACGTAGCCAAGAAGGGTGGCTAGAACTGGAGTACTACAAGGTGAGGCAGCAAGTGCGAATGTTAGACCGGCTAAATACGCTTGTACACCTAACAAAACATTTTGTTACCAAAGTGTCAAAAATGGAAAAAAAAAATGTGTCCAATGGCTTAAGGTCCAAAAATCCCACAAAAGATTTTTGTCTTACTAGATGGGAAGTTTGCTGCTGCAGCACGAGGATCAAAGTTGTTGAAGAAAGATGGAAGCTGAAGTTCGATTACCTGTAAGTAGAGAATCAAAGAGATTGTGTTGGACAAGACAAGCTAAATGATGCTAAAGGAAAAGTACTATTGTAACAATAGTACCTCAAGCAGATTGAGACCCATTACAATAGCCAGACCGGATGCAGCTACTGGTAGTCCTTGTCCTATTTGTCCATAGGCTTTTCCAGCAAAAGAGGCTACTATTCCAAGAAGTGCTAAGGTAGTTGCTAATCCCAGTGAGAAAGCAATTGCATCTCCAATAACCTAAGTCCATGGAGAGCTGAAATGTTACTTAGAACTATAAATAAGACTAAAAAATCATGTATTTTGATTAGGAATGAGTCTTCTCTTGCTTCAAGTGAAATTTGATTTGTTTAAAAGAACTCAACTTTAGCTTCTTTTACGCTTTGATATTACTACAATGAAAATGATCCAACTAACTCGTAACGAGCAATTATAGAAATCTGATCTGAAGAGCCACTAACCTGACCTCTGCTTTTGTTGGACCCAAATGCACCTATATGTTACAACCATATTAAGGACCGGTGAGGAAAAAATCAGAAAATTAAACTAATATTTGAATATAACTAAAGAGAAATGCAAAATCTTGAGATAAGTTATCATACCAATATAACCAAGTGTCAGAGGCAGAACACTGAGGGTACATGGAGAAAGACTTGTCACAAGGCCTGCCCCAAATATTACAGCCAAACTACAAGAGGGATAAATTAGCAGGAGACTCAGAAAACTCGATGGTCAAACTCTCAGAAATGCGTAATTTGAGAAAGAACCAGAGATATACACCTTGTTACACTGAGAGCTGATAGCTGATCCTGAACAGCGTCATTAGCTTGTTGGTTAGCTGAATACAAGAAGTTTCCAAGCGAGTCTCCAAAGGTTCCTTCAGCCAAGGTGTAGACGGAAGTGGCTTGATCCTGTCTTAAGAGGAAATTAATTTCCGATTTTACAAGCAATCAGCGAACAGATAATGATCGAAAACAGAGGCATCTCAAGGCAGAAACGCATAGGAACAAAGTCGTTCCAAACAAAAATATTCAGATCAGACCCCAAACGAGGTCCTATATATACACATATGCTGATTTTTTACCTTTGGCTTTGCACTAATGGAAAAAAACACTACCTTAGATTCTCGATAAACTATTCAGCTTAAGATGTGTAACATAACTGAACAAGCCTACAGTAACAGAAATCAGCGAAGAGATTAAAAGATCATAGTCTATGATTAAAACTTACCAAGACAATCATCTTCAAGTCTGCGGCCTTTGCTGAGCTAAGAGTTGCCAAGTTTGCCACTGGGAGACCAAGAATAAAGTTGAGGTTTTCATGGTCCGATGAAGTTAGACACAGCATCATTAATACTTTTTTCTATTAGAGAAATAAAAAGAAAAAAAAAAACTAGAAAGAAAAGGCAGCACATCAAACAAATTCAGTCGTTCGAAAACATAATGAAGCATATTTTGCTAGTTTTTTTTCAAGCACTTGCTCATAAACTACAATTTTTAAAACACACTTGGATTCTTCTTTCTGACTACAACCTCATCTCAAGACTTACAGAATGTTTAAATGCCACAGAACAACAATCGGTCACATTATCCAACATTAGTGAAAAAAATCAAAAGAAAATAGATAATAACAGATCAGATTTCTTAATATTATCAGGTAGAATGATTGAAGATTACGAGACTACACACTAAAAAATTGTCCATAGGACAAGAAGAGAGTAGTAACATTACCTCCTAGTAAACCACTACTAAACATCGTAAGTTTAATACTTGTCCTCTCTTTCTTCTGTAAAGAAACAGCATCAGATCCTAAGCCTTTCCCTCTCTGAAACTCACAATTCTTGGCAACACGGACCCACCTTTTCTCTGCAGATCACAGAGCACACAAAACTAAAATATGACCCAATGGCCCAAAATTCTTGAGTTACAAACTCTCTCTACAACATTTCATAGTATCGATTTCAATCAGTGCATGTTCTGTGTGTATGTAAGCAATTACACGACTTGTGCGACCAATTTTCAAATTGCCAGAGAGATGAAATTCATATCTTGATCACCATCGGAATTCAAAAATAAGCAGACTCCAACACTAATTTATACACGATGGATCATGTTCGATCAAATCAAAGAACAATCCTTATCCAATCCAGATTACTCTACCTTCGACGGTTTTTCAATATTTCTCCAAAGTTTTTCTTAAAACTAAAAGAAGAACTCACCACCACCATGGTTAAGTTTGCAGCTCGAGAATCCACCGACGAAGCCACCGGTGATGCATCGGTTCACACTCAAATTCATGGCACTCGAGAGAGATAAACGGTCCTCTCGCTTCCGATATTTTTTTTTTCCGTTTTCGTTTAGTTTATTTTCGCTATTTATTTTTAATCTTCATGGGCTCCGTCAAAACTATAATATTTTATTGGGCTAAACCTTTTGAGCTCTAGGCCCAAAAATACTAATTATCATAAACGTAAGTTGTCATTTCGAAGAAACCAAGAATGACTTGATTGCACTTTAGCAGGACAATTTATATATGCTCGTTTAATAAGAAGATATATAAACTGGAATTGCTCGCTTGGGAACAAATTAGCAAGACTTACACCAGTAGTGTAACATCCCGATTTCCGGGTAGTCGGAAAGGCTTATAAGAATTGATTTGGTTACCTATGTCAACAAAGTGCACTTATCTTTTTCGGTCAAGTGTGCAGAGAGAACTCCAAAGTTAAACGTGCTGATGCTGGAGTAGTCTCAGGATGGGTGACCTACCGGGAAGTACTCTGCGGTACCGTGTGAGTGATGACAAAGCACGGGGAAAGATCATGTGGTGATTGCAGGGACAGTAGACAAGTCTTACGAGCCTTCCGGACTAACGACTCCCGACCGTTGAACAGTGGTGGGCCAACGGGCCTAGAGAGAGGGCGTTGGGCTCACTGGGAGGGGCGGTTGAGGGGAGTTAGGATTGATATCGCCGGTCTGCGCCTGGTTCCGAAAGGGAGGGTGGGTCGGGGTATCACAAGTGGTATCAGAGACGACACCCAACCTCGTGTGTGGAGTCGTCATGTGGCCTCACACCGTAACAGGGTGAACGATCCTGGTACAAGCACTGTGGGGGTAAAGGGAGAATTCGGAGACGAATTCCTTGGAAGTCGGGAAGAATTGTATCATCCCGATTTCCGGGTAGTCGGAAAGGCTTATAAGAATTGATTTGGCTACCTAGGTCAACAAAGTGCACTTATCTTTTCCGGTCAAGTGTGCTGGGAGAACTCCAAAGTTAAGCGTGCTGATGCTGGAGTAGTCTCAGGATGGGTGACCTACCGGGAAGTACTCTGCGGTACCGTGCGAGTGAGGACAAAGCACGGGGAAAGATCATGTGGTGATTGCAGGGACAGTAGACAAATCTTACGAGCCTTTCGGACTAACGACTCCCGACCGTCGGACAGTGGTGGGCCAACCGGCCTAGAGAGAGGACGTTGGGCCCACGTATCTAGAGAAGGCGTTGGGCTCACTGGGAGGAGCGGTTGGAGGGAGTTAGGATTGATATCGCCGATTTGCGCCTGGTTCCTAAAGGGAGGGCGGGTCGGGATATCACAAGTAAGTTGATTCTTTTGAGCCTCTAAAATCTTAATTAACTCTTAACCGAGAAACCTCATACTAATGAGTGTGATCTTTAACGGGCTTAAGCTTATGTTTAAGAGTTAAGACCCTATGAAAGTACCTAACAACTTGAATTGACAACAATTTATGTTAATGATTGATATCATATCGCGATGTGAGTGGGATAGTGAGAAATTTTCTTAAAGCATAAACTGAATTGTCATTTTCTTTTTAGCTGATTTTACCAAACTTTGCAACAAAACCAGATTTACAAAAGATACTTTGGCCCACTTAAGGTTTATACTTTATAGCAAAACATCACTCGCACGTATTATAATCAAAAGTTGTGGTCGACACCGATTCGTGGGGACATTTGTAAGATATGCATGGATTTGTGAGGGTGTCTTATCCAACATCTAACTTATATAAATGGAATGTTACAAATTACAGTTACATGTTTCTTCCTTAATCAGGACGTCGATCGCTTCGAATTTAGAAAGTTTAATAACTGTGATTTATTTGGTAGCTATTAGAA